CGGCCCTTGGACATCATTGTACTGCACCGTGAAGGAGTCAAAGGTGCCCTCGGGGACGCTCCACTCCAGCTGGATGGAGTCAGGGCTGACGTGGGAGGCCGGCATCTCGCCCAGGATGGGCTGCGATGGTGCTTCCTCCTCTGGCTTGGCTGCAGCTGTAACAGGGATCAATGCAAGGAAGAATCATCCATCCATCCATCCATCCACTCAACTGTAGTTATCAGTTCAGCCAAGCATCCACTCACCATCTTTCATTCATTCACCAAATCATCCATCCATCAACCTAATCCCGCAATCAAACATTTTACCAGATATCCATCTACTCATTAAGGCAGGTCTTTGGTCACCCATGTCCTACATCCATTCATTCATCCATGTCTTCACCAGTTTCTTCATCTACACAACAATCCCTTTGTCTCTCTATCCATGCAACCCTCTCTCCCTCCATTTCTACCTCCAAGCAACCATGCTTCCATCCAGCTGATATACCATTTTTCCATCCATTATGTCAGCCAGTAGTCCTTGAATCTGTTCCTCTACCCAACCATCCTGTCACCCACCTTCCAGCAAAACCCTCATCAGTCCGGGGAACCATCTCCTCATTCATCTCTCCATCCACTCAACCTGTTCAATCACCACCCACCATCACCCAAACATCCACCCATCCATCCATCCATCCATCCATTAGGGCTCTAGAAGGTAAGGGGGTCCAAGAGAGCTGGTCAACATTCAAGCACCACTTGCTCCGAGGTCAAGATGGGTGCATCCCGAAGAATAGGGAATCAAGAAAGGAGGCATGAGACCTGCACGGATAAGCAAGGAGCTCCTGGAGAAACTCCAAGGGAAGAAGGAAGTTTACAGACTGTGCAAAAAGGGACTGGCCACTTGGGAGCAATACAGGGATGTAGTCAGAAAATGTAGGGATGCAACGAGGAAGGCTAAGGACCACTTGGAATTAAAACTGGCAAGGGATGTCAAGGACAACAAGAAGGGCTTTTTCAAATACATCAGCAGCAAAAGGAAGACTAGGGAAAATGCGGTCCTGCTGCTGAATGAGGTGGGTGCCCTGGTGACAGTGGATACAGAGAAGGCGGAGTTAATGAATGCCACCTTTGCTTCAGCCTTTACTGCTAAGGCTGACCCTCAGGAATCCCAGATCCTGGAAGTAGGAGAGAAAGTCTGCAGAAAGGAAGACCTTCCCTTGGGTCAAGGAGGATCAATTTAAAAAACATCTAGGCAAACCTGACATCCACAAATCCATGGGCCCTGATGGGATGCACCCATGAGTGCTCAGGGAGCTGGCAGATGTTCTTGCTAAGCTGCTCTCCCTCATCTTTGAAAGGTCCTGGAGAACAGGAGAGGTGCCTGAGGACTGCAGGAAAGCCAATGTCACTCCGGTCTTCAAAAAGGGCAAGAAGGAGGACCCAGGAAACTACAGGCCAGTCAGCCTCACCTTTATCCCTGCAAACGTGGTGGAACAACTTGTTCTGGGGGTTATCAATAAGTATGTGGAGGAGAAGGAGGTTATTAGGAGTGGTCAACATGGATTCACCAAGAGCAAATCATGCCTGACCAATCTGATAACCTTCTATGATGGCATGACCAGCTGGGTGGATGAGGGGAGAGCAGTGGATATTGTCTCCCTTGACTTCAGCAAGGCTTTTGACACTGTCTCTCATAACATCCTCATTAGCAAGTTTAGGAAGCGTTGGTTGGATGAGTAGACAGTGAGGTGGGTTGAGAAGTGGCTGAAAGCAGAGCCCAGAGGGTTGTGATAAGCAGTGCACAATCTGGTTGGAAGCTTGTAGCTAGTGGTGTGCCCCAAGGGTCAGTGCTTGGTCTGGTCTTAGTCAACATAGTCATCAATGGCCTAGATGAGGGGACAGAGTGGACCCTCAGCAAGTTCGCTGATGATACACAACCGGGAGGAGTGGCCAACACAGCAGAAGGCTGCGCTGCCATTCAGCGAGCTCTGGCCAGGCTGGAGAGTTGGGCCGAGAGGAACCAAATGAAATTCAATAGGACAAGAGTAGGGTCCTGCTCCGAGGGAAGAACAACCCCAGGCACCAGAACAGGTGAGGGGTTGACCTGCTGGGAAGCAGCTTTGCGGAGAAGGATCTGGGGGTCCTGGTGGACAAGAAGCTCTCCATGAGCCAGCAATGTGCCCTCGTGGCCAAGAAGGCCAATGGTGCCCTGGGGTGCCTTGAGAAGAACGTGGCCAGCAGATCCAGGGAGGTTCTCCTTCCCCTCTACTTTGCCCTGGTGAGGCCACATCTGGAGTTCTGTGTCCAGTGCTGGGCTCCCCAGTTCAAGACAGACAGGGAGCTGCTGGAGAGAGTCCAGTGGAAGGCTGTGAGGATGATGAGGGGACTGGAGCATCTCTCGTATGAGGAAAGGTTGAGAGAGCTGGGGCTGTTTAGTCTGGAGAAGACTGAGAGGGGATCTCATCAACACTTATAAATATCTAAAGGGTGGATGTCTAGAGGAAGGGACCAGACTCTTCTCAGTGGTGCCCAGGGGTAGGAGAAGGGGCAATGGGCACAAAGTGGAACTCAGGAAGTTCCATCTGAACATGAGAAAAAAGTTCACACTGAGGTTGACAGAGCGCTGGGACAGCCTGCCCAGAGAGGTTGTGGAGTCTCCTTCTCTGGAGAGATTCAAAACCTGCCTGGATGCCATCGTGTGCAACCTGCTCGAGGGGATCCTGCTCTAGCAGGGGGGTTGGAGTAGATGATCACCAGACGCCCCTTCCAACGCCTACCAATCGGTGAATCTGTGAACCTCTGAATCTCAGAATATCCTCACCCAACGAGCCACACACTCATCCAACCGACCGTACACACATCACTTCCTCCCTCCCTCTGAACTTCCCTCTCTCTCCCCTCCCTTACTGTCCTCAAGCCTGCCTGCACCCATCCCTCCATCCAGCCCCCAATCAACACCCACCAACAGAACTGCCCAGTTCCCACATGGGCCAACCATCTGCAACGCGCCCTGCCCAAGCCCCTGACACACTCCAAACCCAGGGCCACCAAGGACACGCATGGTCCCACAGCACCACTCACCTGTCACGGCATCGGTGGAGACGGGGCCCAGGCGTTTCCGACCCCACACCCCATACAGGCTGCACTTGTAGGGGGGGGGGGGTGGGGCACCCTCACCGTACGTGAACCACCGTCCACGGGCAGTACCTGGGGCTGGCCTTGGGCATCCCTGTACTGCACCGTGAAGGAGTCAAAGGTGCCCTTGGGGACGCTCCACTCCAGTTGGACAGAGTTGGGACTGACATGGGAGGCTGTGAGCTCGCCCAGGATGGGCTGTGATGGTGGTTCCTTCTTTGGTGAGGCTGGGGCTGCAACAGGGATAGTACCATGCAGGACAGAATGGGTACGTACAGACATCCATCCATCCAACCATCCATCCATCCATCGTTCTGGCTGCCTCTCCATTCATCCAATCACCCACCCATTACTCAACTCACCCAACAATCTCATCTTCCATACATTTCCCATTCCTCCAGCTGTTTGTCCACTCATCCACTCATCCATCCAATTATCTCTTAGTCAGGCAATTCAAACCTTCCAGAAATCTATCCATCCATGTGTCTTCCCACCCACTCATGCTTACTTCCACCCAGTCATCCATCATCTTTCCATGACCCTTCTCCATCACATCTTTTCATGGATCCATGAACCCCGCTAGCCAAACACGCAACCATCCATCTATTCATTTATTAAATAGTCTGGTTGTCCGTCTGACCACCCCTGCTTCCATCCATCCATGCTACTGCGCATTCATCTATCCAGCCATCAATCAGTATACCCAGCCATTTTTCCAGCCACTCATCTAAAATCTATATATCCAATCCCAACCATCCATCCAATCCCAACCATCCATCATCCATCTCCCCGTTCCCACCCATCCACCCACCTTCCCACCATCCACCTAACCACCCACACACTCATCCAATCATCCATCCTTTCCTACAAACAGCCCTCCATCCCTCTGACCTTCATGCACCCGCACCCACCACCAAATCAAGGACAAGATGCTCTTCCCATATCCCTCAAGGTCAAAGGACCTGCCAAGGCTCCTGATTCACTCCAAACCCAGTGCCCACAGAGGACATAGAGGGGGTCCAGAGATGTCCTCACCTGTGACGGCATCAGTAGAGACAAGACCAATCCGTTTCCGACCCCACACCCCGTACAGGTTGAACTTGTAGCGGCGGGATGGTGACAGCCCAGGCACCGTCACTGTGCGGGACCCGCCATCAACTGCAAGTGCCTGAGGCTGGCCTTGGGCATCCCTGTACTGCACCGTGAAGGAGTCAAAGGTGCCCTCAAGGACACTCCACTCCAGCTGGATGGAGCCAGAGGTGACATGGGAGACAGTGAGCTCGCCCAGGCGGGGCCGGAGTGGTGGTTCCTCCGATGGCGGAGCTGGCACTGCAATGGAGATGGCACAAAGCAGAACATGAAGATCCACCCACCCATGCACCCTTCTGCTGAACAAGCTGTCCATCCACCCATCTGTCTAACCACGCACCTTTCAATCGAAACACCCAACCATCCTCCCATTGATCTAACTGGGTGTCTGACCGTCCATCCAATCGTCTGTTCATTCTGTTATTTCTCTGTTGTTCCATCCATCAATCCGTCTATCTGTATGTCCACTCATTTGTCCATACAAGGAACCAGGCTTCCATCCAATCAATGACCTGCTTTTCCATTCACTTTTCCTTACATAAGTCTTTGAATCCACCCACCCACCTATCTGTCCAACCTTCCATCTATCCATACACCCATCCAACCATCCATCCATCCATCCTTCCATCCACACACCCATCCAACCATCCATCCTTTCACCCATCTATCCATCTTTCCATCCATTCCAGACACCCACCTATCTATCCAAGCTTCTATCCATTCACCCATCCTTCCAACCATCCATCCCTCCACCCATCCAACCATCCATTAACACATTCAATCATCCATCTTTCCATCCATCCATCTTTCCATCCATCCACCCACCCACCTCTCTATCCAACATTGCATCCATCATCCATCCATCCACCCACTCACCCATCCCAACCATCCAATCACCATTCATCCATCCTTGCAACCATCCAACCATCCATCTGACCATCCCCAACTTGTCTACCAAGAGCAGGTCAGCCTGAACATCTGGGTCCCTCCCATTGCTGCCATGGACCATCTGATGGTACCTGCTTTGGCTATAGCACCTTTGGGCTCCGTCAACTCCATCTCATACTTGTGCTCCCAGTCCAGCGGGGGCTCATTGGTGCCACCTACCCCTGCACCCAAAAGAGGAGTAGGCGGTTATGGGATGTCCCTGTGCAATGTTGTCCCCATCTCCATGTCCATCCCCATCACCCACCTGCCGTCACCAGGAATGTGTAGGACTTGGAGACGTGCCCCCGCACCACGCCGTGCACCTCCACCCGGTACATGGCCCCCGGCACCAGCCCTGGCACCCGGGCCACCGCTGTGTCCCCTGGCACCTGCAGCTCCCCCTCGGCCCCCTCCGGCTCTTCCAGGAGCCGGTAACGGATCACCACAGTCTCTGCATGGCCCCGTAGCCCGTCCAGGTCCACCAGAGCCTCACCAGCAGCCCCTGGCATCAGCTGGGGCTTGGGGTGGGGGATCTGGCGAAGGAGCTGGTGACGCAACAGGGCCGGGCTGCGACGCAGAAGGTAAGAGAGGATGGCGCGGGCCACTGCCGGCACCGTTTGGTTGCCCCGGAGGGGGAAGTTTGTAGCCCGGAGGTGGCTCTCCAGGCGCTGCAGCAAGGAGCCATTGTAGGAGGAGAGCTTGGCCCCCAGGTCATGCAGAGATGGGCCAACCGGGAGCACTGGGGACAGTGGGGATGCTGGGGACACTGGGGACCATGGAGATGGAGGTGACACAGGGGATTGTGGTGATGCTGGGGACCATGGAGACACAGGTGACCTTGGGGACACTGGGGATACTGGTGCCTCTGGGGACCTTGGGGACACTGATGACCCTGGGGATTCAGGGGACACCGGTGATGCTGGGGACTCTGGTGATACTGGAGACCTTGGGGATGCTGGGGACCCCGGCGAGCCTCGAGATACTGGGGAGGATGGAAACCTTGGAGATGCTGGTGACCCCAAAGACCCTGGTGACCCCAAGGATGCATCCGGTGACACTGGTGATGCCGGTGATCCCAGAGACCCTGGTGACCCTGGGGATGCCGGAGACCCTCGGGTAGATGGTGACGCTGGGGCCACTGGTGATGCCGGGGACCCCAGGGAACCCTGAGGGGACCCTGGGGACCCCCCGTGGGTGGGCAGAGTCTGGGCAAGCACTGCGAGAGCAAAGGGGACCAGGGTCATCAACCCGTCCCCAAAAATCTCCGTCTGCCAGAGCTTGGGGGGGACACAGGGACAGATGGACATGGGAAAGGATGGGGACAGACGGACGCATAGGGACAGGCTGGGGACATCCAGACTAATGGGAACAGACTGGGATAGATGGACTGACTGGGACAAACTGGAGACATCCGGATCACACGGGGGAGCACCAGGAGACGTGACAACACATGGACCCATGAGGACACACGAGCCCACGGGGACACGTGGGGACAGATGCAGATAGACAGACCCAAGGGGACACACGGACCCACAGGGGACAGACCAGTGACACACAGACCCACCAGGACAGACGCATGTGGACCCACAGAGCCATGAGGACACATGGACACGTGGAGACGGACAGAGGCTGCAGGCACTGCCCCTTGTCCCCATGTCCATCCCAGTCCCTGTCCCCACCCCTGTGGCCATGATATCCCCATCCCTGTACACATCCCTCTGCCACCCCCATGCTTGTCAACATCCCTGTTCCCATGTCCATGCTGTCCTCACCCCCATGCTTGCATCATCCGGGTCCCCGTGCCATCCCTACACTGTCCTCATCCATGTGTTGTCCCCATCACCATCCCCATGTTGTCCCTGTAACTATGTCTGTGCCCATACCGTCCCCATCCTCATACCATCCACATGCCCATGCCATCTCCATGGCTGTCTCCATCACTGTCCCCATCCCTGTGGTCATGCCATCCATGTCCCCAGGCTTTTCCCATCCCCATGCCATCCCTGTCCCCATGTCCATGCCATTCCCATCCCTGTGTCATCCCTGTCCCCATGCTGTCCCCATTGCTGTCCCCCACAGCCATGACCATGCCATCACCGTCCCCTACCCCATCCCTGTACCATCCCCGACCACGTGTCTGTGCTGTCCCCATCCCTGTCCCCATGCCACCTCTGTCCCCTTGCCCATGACACTATGCCATCACTGTCCCCACCTCCATCCCTGTGTCATCCCTGGCCCCATGCTGTCCCCATTGCTGTCCCCCACAACCATGACCATGCCATCACCATCCCCTACCCCATCCATGTGCCATCCCCATCCCTGCCCCCCTGCCCACACCCGTTGCCATCCCCGTTGTTGTCCTCATCCCCACGCCTGTCCCCTCGTGGTCCTCGCACTGAGCGGCTGGCACGTACCGGTGCGGACTCGCAGGGTGCCGGGCGCCCCGAGGTGCTGCTCCCGCTGGGCCTGGATGAAAAGCTCGAAGGCGTGGCCGGGTGCCAGTCCCGTCACCTCGAAGGTGACAGCGGAGCCAGGCAGCTCATGGGTGGTCATCGCTGCTGGCTCGTCCTAGGGACAAAGGACATGCCAAGGACACACTGGGGACACCACGGTGGGACTTAGTCCTGAGTGAGGCAGCAGGCAGGTGGCCACAGCCAAGACCTTCTCCCAGGTCTGGGTGACATATTGGGGACACACTGGGGATGTGTTGGGGACAGCTAAGGAGGGACACACTGGGGACAGTGTGGTGAGGACACCTCCTCATCTCTGAGCCAGGCAAGAGGCAGGCGGCTGCAGCCAATGGCTTGTCCTGGGGCTGGGGCACACATTGGGGACACACTGGGGACATATTGGGGACACCATGGTGGGACACGTCCTGGTCCCTAAGCAGGACTGCAGGTAGGTGGCTGCAGGCAGGTGGCTCATCCTGGGGACAGGGGACATGTTGGGGACACAACCCTGTCCCCAAGCCAGGCAGCAGGAAGGTGGCCACAGCTGCTGGCTCATCTTGGGGACAAGGGATACACTGGGGAGATGACCCCATCCCTGAGTTAGGCAGCAGGAGGTGGCCTGACCACTGGCTTGCTCTGGGGACAACAGAGGACAGACTGGGGACACCACAGGGACACCCCTATGGTGCCCCCCAGCAGGGCAGCAGCAGCTGGCCATGGACGCCATCTCATCCTGGGGATGATGGCCACATTGGGGCCATGCTGGGGCCACCACACTGGGGTCACCGCAGTGCTGGGGACATGTCCCCACCCCGTCCCTGTCCCCAGCTCACCAGGGGAATGAGGGCCACCTGGTAGCCATCCACCGGCACGGGGGGGCGGGGCCAGGTCACACGGAAGGACGTCTGGTTGCGGGTGGCCAAGCGTGGTGTCACCGAGGGGATCTCTGCAGGGACACGGTCCATCAGTGGGTGCCACAACGGGGACAATTTGGGGCACCATGGGACAGGGTGCCCATGGGATGGGGACACCTTGGGGACACCATGGGACAGGGCACCCATGAGATGGGGACACCACAGGACAGGGACACCCTGAAAACACCAGGGGGACACCATGAGATGGGGCACCCAGGAGATGGGGGGACACCCAGACACACTTTGGGGACACCATGGGACAGGGACACCCCCAATACATGATGGGGACACCATTGGATGGGGCGCCTATGGGATGGGGACATCACGAGGACAGGGACATCCAGGGGATGGAGGCACCATGGGATGGGGACACAGGGAGATATGGAGAGGACACCCAAGGAACAAGGCCCCCCAAGCCATGGGGACAGCAGGGTATGGGGCACCCACAGGATGGGGACACCATGGGGACACTCAGGGCCAGGGCATTGGGAGGCACTGGAAGGACTGGGAAAGCACTGGAGGACACCAGGGGACACTGGGGACATGAGACAATACCAAGGTGGCATCAGGGTCCACCATGGCTCTGGGGCTCCAGGCAGGGGGGCACTGGGAGCACTGGGATGGGGACACTGGGG